TATAGAAATGAAAGCCCGGCCTTGTGGAATAATTTTCATGGCGAACGTGCCCAGTAAGGATTGTAGGTCTGTCCTGGTATACGTGTCCTTGGCCAGAAAGTATCCGAACGATTTTGGACTGCTTTTAGCTCCAAAGGTTAAACGAGTAGCAAAGTAATACTTGTTCTCCCAACGGATGCAGTGCACGTGCCACAGAGATGGATGAATGGGTAGGAGCTTGAATGCACTGGAAACATCGGTTTTCCCTAACCAAGCTCCTACCCCGGCCCTTAAAATGGCATCATCCACTGTGGTGTGTTTCAGGGAGAACTATTCAGAGGGGATTCGTGAATTAATGCTGGGGGGAGATAAAGAATGTGGAGCGGACAAATCGTAGATTAGTCTTTTTTATTATTGAACTTCCCAGTGGCTATGCCTATTGGGTTGGTAGACCAGCTGGAACACAGAGGAAAAGAGAAAGGGCCTAAAATGAACATGTAGGTTGCTGACTGGGTCAAGAAGGGCAGTCTATAGGTTAGGACATTCGTGAATACCAGTGGGGAGTGTGACCAGGCCAGTGTGGAAACAGTCGGTGAGCCCTTTTACCAGGAAGTCGACTTGGTGATGGGAAGGGTGTGCCTGGAGGTAAAACGCCAGGCTGTCGATGCTAACTTCGATTAGTCATTGTTTTGGGTACAGACGATTAGGGCACAGTTTTTGTGTGTGGCCTGAAACAAATTGAGTAGACGTGCAACAATCTGCACAAGCTAAATCCACAACTTCCAGAGTTAAAGTTGTTGCAGATCTGAGCTTTCCCAAGGTATACTATGGGTTTACCCAATTTGTCTTTTAATCCTCTGTGTTCTGCAGTGGAGTAACCGAAGGAAGGACGACTAATGGTAGGAAGGCTAAGATCGACTGGGCACAAGTTGGTGGAGTGTGAGATGGAGGCGCACAAAGCACAAGACAGAGGTCTTTGGCTGGCAAAATGGAGACAGAAAAGTTCTGTGGCAAGCTTACTCCAGTTGGTATGGGTGTTAAACTGGGTGAGGGATGCGGCTGCCTTAGTCGAAAAAGATTTATGATAATCATAAAAAAGAGAAACCCCTATACCTGTGCCCTAGGTCCACCAACTTGTGCATGTACAAATCCAACTCCTCCATACGGTGAGGGGAAGTGGAACAAATTACGTCACGATAGAGGCCAAAAGTAAGGACAAACTCTGGTATGGTAAGCTTTCAGTTGAGTCTGGGGTCTCTGGCTTTTAACACAACCGAAAGATCGCCATAGCAGTATGCCTTGATCTCCACCACATCCTGAGAAGTAATCAGCAAAGATACTAGGTTTCTGTCCTTGCCTTCCAGGATGTCTTTACGTATGGTTGGGGGTACAAAGTGAGGGGGCGTGATGTGAGTGAAAGTGCTTGGAATTGGGTATATGGGGGTGTCATTACCGTGGGGGTGGGGAACCGCTGATCGTGTTGATAGAGGCAAGGTGAGATGACATCAAGCCCTTGATCTCAGTATAATTATCAGGCTGCAGGACCACTCCTGGCTGGGGAGTACGTGTTGGATATAAATATTTTATATAGCTGGGCCTTGCGGGCTGTAGCCGGGAACGGGACCCCATGCAACGTAATTCAGCCGCGAGCTTGGGGATAGTCCATGACCGGAGAGAGTATGGGCTGGATGGTTCCAGGTTCTCGATAGGGGTACTTGGAAGGGGTGGAAGGCCTGGCTGGGGTTTCGGGTATAGCCAGTCTTCTTGATCAAGAATTTGAGACATACTACAAATGAAAA